GGTATCTCCCTCCTCGACCCCCCCTCTTTCTTCCCTCTCCTTGTCCCCCCCCCAGGAGCCTTTCTCAGTAGCAGGGCCGGATCAACTGGTGGGATCCGCCGTGTTGCAAACACATGAGACCAACAATCCACGCCTTCTTTAGTTTGGTAGTGTCTGTTCAGTGTATATGTATTTTTCTTCATTTTTTCATTATTGTATTGTCTAGTACCAATTGCTGATATTCTGTATTGTGAAGATGTTATTTCATTTTCTCTGTATTGTAAGTGCCTCGTTATATGTGTTAAAACCAATAAATACTTACCTGTTAAAAAATTAAAATAAAGTACACTGTCAAACTACCAAGGTTAAAAACAGAGGTTTTAGTTGCACAACTTTTGCAAAACATGTGGAAGATGCACTGCCTCATCAAGGCCCCTCTGTATAGTGCGGTGACCTGCACCCAATTCACCCTTTGCTACAAATATGCTCCAAAATGGCGGCTCTCTTAGATTAGAGTTAGGACCGCACTATACAGAGGGGCCTTGATGAAGCAATGTCTGTTTTTGTACTGTGTAAAGCCTTGGTTCTCAACTGGAGAGTCGTGACCCAAAAGTGGGTCACAACCTCGTGTTCAGTGGGTCACCGTGTGCCTTCTACTATGCTAGGTGAGAGACTCCTCCTGTCAGTTCTCTCGCCAAGCAGCCATTCCAAATCTGCTGCCTAGTGCCGAGTGTCTGCTTAAGGTGGGATGGGCTATGACCGTGAGGGAGCTCCATCCATACGTACCACTCCCTTGCGTGTCCTGTAGAGGTGCATGGACCGGAGTGATGTCACATTCTGGCTCCCAGCACCTCTACAGGGCACTCAAGGGAGCTGTACAAGCAATGTACATATGGATGGAGCTCTGTCACAGCACAGCAGCCCACACTGGACCCAAGGCTGAGGATCCACTCTAGTTCTTGTAAGGTATGGAGACTTTTGAATGGCATCCCAAATGCACCTCCCACCCACAGTTCGATCGCCCGCACTGGAACATGCGGTACCGTAATGCTGTGCGTTCCATTGCAGTTCTAATTGAGTCGCCACCTAATGACCAAGGACAAATGTGGGTCCTGAGGTTACACAGGTTGAGAACCACTGGTGTAAAGCCCTTCCATGTGCACCTTGCTTTAAAGCTAGTTATGAATTGATAAGTGTGTTTGCCATTCGTTTCACTCGAAACACAAATAAGGTAAATTTTTGTCAATAGTTAACGTACCTGAATGCATTTTTAAGGGCTTAACTCCTGAGTTTAGTGTCACTTTAACATGTAGCCAAGCTAAGGACAGTAACGTTTTTACATAATTTTAACAAGCAGTAAAACAGGACTTTAGACTTAATGTTAAAAAGAGATCTATGAGGTAAGTGATTTCCGCTCATCCTCATGGTTAGAGCCGACCTGTGACAAAGAAGCTGTCACAGGTCGGCTACATTGATCGGGAAGTGAGCAGAAACATGCACCGATCCGCTCACTTCAGGATCGTCTCCCTGCAGTGAGCAGTGACTGTCAGTCACCGCTCTCCCCGCAGAGATCCACTCCGATCCTCCATCACTGACTGGAGGAATGGACAGGGGAGGGGGCGGGCACAGCTGGCTCTGCCACTAGATAGGCAGAGCCTGCTGTCACTCACACAGCTGGGTAGATCCAGACAGTATTGTTGGAATCCGTCCCGGCTGCGGCGCTCTCAGTATATCGCAGGCAATAACTTGCTACATACTGAGCATTGGGTCATGGGAGGAGGTTAGTATATGTCCTCCCGTGACCCTAAAGAGAACTATGGGGAAAAACACTTACCCCATAGTTTCCTTTTAAGTCCTTTTCTTGGCATTCATTAACCACTTCAAGACCAGGTGTTTAGACCCCTTTCCTGGCCAGGCCATTTTTCAGTATTCAGCGCTGCGGTACTTTGACTGACATTTATTCCGTCATGCAATGCTGTACTGAAATGAATTTTATACCCTTTTTTGGGGACAGATAGAGCTTTATTTTGGTGGTATTTAATCACCACTGGGGGGTTTTATTTTTTATTATAATTAGGAAAAATTACAGAAAATTTTGAAAAAAAAAAGTTTCAAAAAAAATTATGTTAGGAAACATTTATTATTACCCAGTTGTTTTTTGGTAAAATATAAAAGACGGGGTCATGTCGGGTAAATAGACACCAAACATGTCAAGCTTTAAAATTGCGCGCACCCGCGAAATCGCAGAAAATTACCATACCCAAAATTGTCCATAGGCAACACTTTAAAAGTCACTACGGCCCGCCTGGGGGCAGTTAAGGGACACAGAGACAGAAGAATTCTGAGACAAATGGTTTATACTGCTGCCAACAGAACTGGACATTGGCAAACAAAAAAAATTAACTGCAAGAAAGAATTTACAGCAAGACAAAAATCCTATTTTTTATTTTTTTTCATGAAGGGGCACCAGGTCTTATTTTTGATGAAGGGGGGCTGAGTGTGTGTTGTCTTTTGTTAGTTTATTGTGTTGATGTTTCTGCAACCTGCGTGTTGCTAATGTTGTTACCTTTTTTTTCAAAATTCAAAATAAACACCTTTTAAAAAAGGGACACCAGGTCAGAGGTATTCTGAGATGTATGGGACATACAAAAGCAATGCAACTTAGAGATGGGCAACACAGCAACTGACGTGCGATGCAAGGAGGAGGAGTTATACTAGCCGACACATTTTTGCTTGCAGTGTTCTATCTGCAGCAGTATGACCCTAGATAGATAGATTTATTTTTTACATGTACATTTACACTAGTTTTCCTCCTCAGTACTTTAAAAAAAAAAGGGTACCCTTAGCAGCAATGCTAATTAAAATGTATAAAAAGTCTTACCACTGCCCAGGCCATGCTACGGCTGAGATCTTCTAACTTCTTCTTCCTTTCGCCCAGTGATGCCAGGTCTTTTAGTCTATCCTCATTTCTTATATAATCCTGCTTTAGCTCCTGGAGTCTCTAGATTGAAAGGAATAGAAAACAAATGTAAAACGTGCATGCCATTTAAAAACAGACTTCATATAGTTCATCCCCTTAAAATTAGGGATGCACTGATACAGATATTGGTGTCAGTATCAGTGCCAATACTGAGCATTTGGGCTCAGATACTTACCCCGATGCCAGAACTGCTGGTCAGAGATTCTCCCTGACCAGTAGTGCCACGAGGGAGCATGGACCCGGCTTCCCGGCCACTCAGAAAGCCGGGTGTTGGAGTGCTGGATCATGACCCGCCTCCTGGCTTCCTGTTTGGCTAGGAAGCCGGCTTCACGCTGCGTAGTGGCACTGCGAGGCAGTGCGGCTCCTCGACCAAAAAGCTGCAAAATAAGCTACATTTTTGTTAATATGTATTGTACTTAATCCCTTTTAAGATTTAATTCCAGAGTTTAATGTCACTTTAAAATGACACTAAACTCAGGAGTTAAACCTAAAAAATGCATTCAAGTACCATAACTATTAACAAAAAATAGGATTTTTGTACTCGAAGTAAAATGCTTTTCTCTGCGTTCATTGAAGGACCCAGCACCCACCCTCTGTGTGTAGGAGTGTACTCCTTACTGCTTGTTACTTACTGGAGACTTGATCAGCAGGTGGGGGGATGACCACCTGCATAGCCCCCACCCAGGCTGTCTTTTGTTTTGTGCCTAGCGTCCTTCTCCTGCAGGTGGCACAATACCCTATGGTTCCAGATTTACAATCTACTTAACTGTGTCCTTCAATGAACGCAGATAAAAGGATTTTACGGTGAGTACAAAATCCTATTTTCTCTTCCGTTCAATAAAGGACACAGTGAAGTAGATCATACATCTGGAACTATAGGGATGTCACAAAGCAGTGCAACATGAGGGGTGGGCAAAAAAATATATCTCCACACACAGAACAACAACCCGTCTACAGGGCCACCAGCAAAACCTTGCGCCTGAAACTGGCATCCACAGACGCCAAATATCAACTGGTAGAACTTGGAAAAATAAATGAACAGAAGCCCAAGTGGTTGCCTTACAACCAGAGAAACTGAGTCACTATGATGAAAAGCACAGGACGCCCTGACAGCTCTAACAGAATGAGCTGCAACTGGAAAAAGGGGGTTCCCGACCCCAGATAGCATAAAGCAATGGAGAGCTCCTTCCTTCCTATAAGCAGACATAGGACAAAGAGAAGTGAGAACAATATCCTCACTAAGATGAAAGGCAACTTTCAGAAGAAAAGACAGCCTGGGTCGGAGCACACCCTTGTCCTTGAGAAGAACCAGAAAAAGGGACTTACACAACAAGGCCACCAGCCCCAAAACCCTCCAAACAGAGGAGATAGCCACCAAAAAGGCCACTTTTCCGGACAGAGGTAGTAGCGGAGACTGCTGTAACCTGATAGCACCAAAGCAAAATCCCAAAAGGGGTAATGGAGACCGGACAGGAGGAACAATATGAGTAACCCCCTTCAAAAAGTACAAACTAGAGAATGGGATGCCAAGGGCCACTGAAACAGTATTGCCAGAGCCGAAAATTGGACCTTAAATGCACTCAGGGCCAGACCCTGATCCACCCCACGCTGAAGAAAGGTTCGCGACCAGACGCACCACGTCTGTGTACTGGGCCCACAAGACTGACAGGAATCCCCCCCGGCCTCTATCCTGTGGAGAAGATGTGGGGGAAGGCATAAATCAGCGAGTAATGGCCCCATGGAGCCACCAGAGCATCTGTCGCATCTGCCCATGGATTCTGAGTCCTGGCTACGAACTGATCTACCTTCCTGTTGAGGTGGGACGCTAAGATATCCACATCCAGAGTCCCCCAACGGAGACAAATCTGTTGAAACACTACTGGGTGGAATGACTCCCCCAGATCCACAGAAAGACAGCTGAGGTACTTGGTCTGTCAATTTGTTAATCCCCTGAAATGTGCACCGCGGAAAGATCCAGAATGGGCCTCTGTGCCCAGGGGAGAATCTGACTCCACCCGTGCAGTGGCTGCACTTTCTGTTCCGCCTCAAGGATTTATGTAAGACACAGCTGTGACGTTGTTCGACTGAACCCCAAACGGCAGACCCTGACGCTGGCAAGTCCAGTGCTGAAAAGACAACTGCACTGCCTAAAGTTCTAACACATTGATTGGGAGATGGAACTCCTCCGGTGACCACCGAACCTGTGTCGTACAGGATCCAAGGACCCCTCCCTACTCCAGGAGGCTTGCATCTGTCGTTTCCACAGTCCAATGGAACGGCAGGAATGAATTTTACTAACAACAGAGCCAGAGATGGAAGCCACCAGAGGAGAGAGGCCCGCGTCGCTTGACTCACAGAGATTTCCCTGACCAGCGGTGATAGTATTTGTTTCATGGCACCAAGATGTCCCTCTGCAGAGTCCTGGTGAGGCGTTGCACAAAAGGAACCGCTTCGAAGGAGGCCAGCATCAGGCCTAGCACCTGCATTCAAAAGTGGATCCACGTCCTCCTGCAAGAGTGCAGCAGACCGACGGGAGACCGAAGTAATCAAAGCTACTCTGGAAGAAGGAACACCCTGGCCTGTGTGGTCCCATTTTTCTTGAGAACCGTGAAGACGTTTGGTTAGAACTAGGGATGCAGCGATACCACTTTTTTAAGACCGAGTACGAGTACCGATACTTTTTTTCCCAAGTACTCATGAGGACTTGGAGGAGGAGTTTGCGGCCATCTTGTTTCACTGAAGACGCGATGGAGGTCTTGTGTGCGGCGGTTTCGGGTCCCTGAAGATGGCGGACGCGGCACAGGTACTCGTTTTTTGTATCGGAGTATTTGCACGAGTACGAGTACTCATGCAAATACTCGGTCTCGCCGCCGATACCGATGCTTGTATCGGTATCGGTGCATCCCTAGTTAGAACCCTCTGTACCATTCTGAAGGAGGAACGGGGACAATTACTCCCTGGGACACAAGATCCATGACCGCATGCCGCAGATTCGCAAGGCGCTGAGGGGAAAGCTGCGTTCTTGAAGGAAAAAACTTCTTCCCTGGACGAGACAGAAACTCTATATCGTAACCCGAAGAGACCAGTTCCCGCAACCAGGAGTCCGAAATGCGAAACATGACCAGAAGGTAGAGGGCTTGTTGCCCTGGTTAGCGGAGACGGAGGGCCGAAAGAAGACTGACAGTGCTTCCAGCACTGATCCTTGGACACCCTGGCCTGAAGTAAAAAAAGTACTCTTACCTCCAGTAATGTTTTAATAATTTCCGCCAGCGTAATGCCAAAAAGGCGGTCCCCAGTAAAAGCTCCGTGAGCGCTTTCTTGAAAGTCTAAGCAGCCGGCCAGCACATGAGCCAGAGTAACCTATGAAGCATAACAGTTGAGACAACTTAGATACCAGAGGACCCGCATCCAGTGCCTCATTGCAAACATATTTTAGACCTTGCACCAATTGTTCTGCCACTTCAACGCAGGCAGAGGAAACCTGTTCATAAGCGAGACCCTGGTGCAACAGTTTTGCCCACTCTGTTAGAGTGGGCGAAACTAGAGCTGAGGCCAAAACAAAGCGTATCACAGCTCCAGCAACAACAAAAAGTTTTTGAAGTGGCCTCCACCTTCCCATCCATGAAAAGAAGGGGAATCCTCTACATGAATTACTGCAGCCGTGTACAGGCAAGATATAGGTGGATCTACCACCGGAGGCGAAGACCATCTCTGCAGAAAATCTTCTTTAAAGGGATAACGAACGGAAAAACGTTCCGGCACCAAGAAAAACGTAGTAGGACGTTCACACTACTCATAAATAAAATCTTAAAAAAGGAGATGTACGGGAAAACCTTAGCAGACCGCTAAAGCTTGTGAGTACCCAAGTGAACTGGCGGCACCTCAGAAGAACTGGGAGCATCCTCAATCTTCAACGTCTTCTGACCCAAACGAATCAGGGCAGAAACCAACTCGTGAGATGAGAAGCTCATCATCCGCACCGGATGCCTCTGGCGTGGAATTACCAGGAGTGGTCCACCACCCTGTGTCCCAGTCCACCATCACTCCTTCCATATCATATTCTTCTGAAAGGGCTGAGGGCACCCCTGTGCCAAGGTATGTTTAACCAGTGACACGAACCCATCCATAGCGGACGAGAAGGCCTCAAAGGGTAAAGTCGTATCTAAGACGCTCGCAGCCCCCAGAGAAGGTCCCAAAAAGCGGTACTGGAGACTGCGATAGTGATGCCGGTGTATAAACGACACATAGAGGGGAGTAGGAAGCATCCTCACCCGAACTCCCACATTCCTTGCAGTGCACGCCACCACAAGGACCCCGTCCCTGCGTTCCATGACCGCAAACGCCTCCCAGAACAGACCACCAGCACCCATCAGAGTATTCACGGACCCCCAGCGAAGTCACGTGCCCTTTCCACCGCAGAGAGGAACAGCACCAGCAGTTCCATACACTGCAGAAGAAACACCCACCCCTCATGCACGGGAAAAAAGCCCCTGGACCAGGGCAGATGGAAGATACAGGCGCAAATGCGGTGCACACCAGTACACGGCACCGCGGTCCACTGCAACCTGGACCACCCCCTAACCTAAAGAAAAGGCTACTTTTTGGTCCCTGGGTGTTAAAAAGTAGTCACCGCTCTAAGCTCACTCCCGTGATGGACTACAATCTCAGGTTTAGTTCATGAATTTGTATTGAGATTGTAGTCTATTACGGGAGCGAGCTTGGAGCGGTGACTACTTCACAACACACACAGGGACCATGGGGAACAAAAGTAGCCCCCCTCCAGAAGGAAGGACAGTGTCAGCACCAATTCAGAGATGATTGGAGGATCTACAGCCGAGTGATACACAAATAAAATACATTTTTGTTAATAGTTAAGGTACTTGAATGTATTTTTAAGATTTACCTCACTTTAAGAGTCCTGCAGTGTTGGCAGTAGATTCACTGAAATACTTACCTCTTTATCAAAAGTAACTTGGTTATCTCTGCTGATCTTTGTTTCCATGATGTAAGAATATTTTCCTTTCATCTGCTCCAGCTGTGTAGCTTTCATGAAAAACTAAAGCAGAAAAAAGAAAGTTGAAAAAATGAATCATATAGGGGTCTGTGTATAAACAGAGTGTGGCAGCAGATTATGCTACCCTCCGCTATTCACATCTATAGGGAGAAAACAGCTATTGAATAGCCAAAATGGTAGACAAATAAAACTAAAGATGCCCAATAATACACGCACATGACAACTGCGGTGCACCTTATATGGGAGCCAGATATTCAATGTAAATGAGTAACTTAGATATTTCAGGTCTTATACAGTATATATATAAGTGTTGGAACAAATATATGCAACTAAAATATACAGAGATCCTCTTTGCTGCTTGGCAGGACATATGTCAGGGAACATTTTTGTTGCTTGCGCACAAAGTATCATCACTTCGCTCTCCTCTCCTATAAACATACTGACACTGTTTGACTGACAGCAATAGGGTCTAAATGTCTGCCAGGGGACATTTTCAAAGTTTGTTGCCTAACAAATATAAACATATGACTGCAGCCCTGGAAATGAGCTGCTTTTCTGAAATAAAAACAGAGGATTTCACAATCTGGAAGGTGAAGCCTGCTGAAAAATGGATTGACAAAAATAAAATCCATGGACATAGCATTGGAGCACGGCAATGAAATTAGAGCTAATTAATAAAGTCAAGGTATGGATTATAACTGCATAAAGCTGGCCATACACCTATAGATTATCTGCAGATTTTCTATGGTCAGATGTAAAAGTGCAACAGATTCCTCTATCTACCCTAAACTGTGTGGATGGAGGAATCTCCCACTGGGCCAAGCTTCAGTATCTCACTAGTCGACCCCGCTGGCTGTCAAAATACCTGAACAATCTGATTGGATGCAGGCATTGTTCAGGTATTTTGAGAGCCAGCGGGCCGACTAGCAAGATACTGAAGCTTGGCCCAGTGGGAGATTCCTCCATCCATACAGTTTAGCGTAGATGGAGGAATCTGTTGCACTTTTTCCACCTGACCATAGAAAATCTGCAGATAAGCTGGCCATAGACCCAGGGCTGTAGCTACAATGAGGCGCAGCTAAGAGGAGGCGCAGCTAAGAGGAGGCGCAGCTAAGAGGAGGCGCAGCCAGGGTTGGCCTGGTTGCGCCACCTCGCCCCTGTTGCCATGGCGAGCAAAGGCTCCAAAACAGCCGCGGCTCAGCAGGGAGGCACAGGCTCCAGCTTCTCCTTGGTTCCCTGCTGCTCTCTCCCGTCTGTATGAGGCAGCAGGGATCCGATGAGAAATGTAGCGCAGCAGCCATCGGGGAGGTGGAGGAGGGAGCTGTCATTCAGGACGGCCTAGCAGTGAGGAGAGAGAGAGCCGCTCAACCAGAATCTGACAGCCTGCGGCTCTTTCTCTCCTCACTGCTTGGCCATCCTGAAGTGACAGCGCTCCCTCCTCCTTCCTCCCAAACCCCAATCCCCCCCCCGCTGGCTTCAGCGCTCAGGATGGCAGAGCGGAGGATTGGTAAATATCTGTGATATTTACCAATCCTCTTTGTGCAGAGCAAACACTGGAGTGATTAGCTGATCTATTTCAAAAGGGAAATGTCAGGGGTCTGATATAAATGAGAAGAGGAACACAATACCATCAAGCAATGGGCACTGCATTCTGAAGATATTTGTATATTATTAGTATGAAATTTTTACGATATGACATAACAAGTAGCAATATATCAGAACTTCTCTCACCTTATACAAGTCAGATTTATTCTTAGAGTGCATAAGGAGTTTGCTCATCTCCGGAGTTAGAATGGACACTGGGTTGTCTATCTACCAATAAAAAGGTAGTTAAAACCACATATCACAGATAGGTAAATCAACTATTACTGCCTTCTGCAGTTAATTACTAAACTAGTAATTGTAAATGAGCTTTAAAATGAGCCCTCAGTGACCTGTGTAGCTGCAGGCATTGTGGAACAACCCATCCTTATAGTCCGCAGCCATCTGTCAACAACTAAGCTCAGCCTACTCCCTTGTGTTTACATAAGAGATTTGAAGTCTACCTAGTAGCGAGTTTGCCCAGGCCTGCTAAAAACTGACAAAGACAACCCAGGATTGTTTAGCAGTTAGAATCCTATATCAGGGAAGAATGGGGCAACATTCCTCTCCCACAAATCCAGCAAATGGCCTCCTCAGTTCCCAGACGTTTACAGAGTGTTGTTAAAGGCAACACCGTGGGAAACATGGCCCTGTCCCATCTTGGAGACATGTTGCTGCCATCAACTTCAAAATTACCTTATTTTTTTCTTAAAATGCTAAATTTTCTCATATTAAACATTTGATATGTTTTATTATCAACAAATCTTTAATTTTTGGGGGGACACTGTTAAAAATCCTAATATGAATTCATTTACACAATACCTGTATGTTGAAATGGTCAAGGATTGAGACAAGTTCTTCTTTCTTCGATGAAACAATGCTCCCTTCAAAGAACAATAAAATAAGATGTTAGATATGAAAACTGTACAATTGTCCTATTGTTTGTCCCTCAATATCAGCCAAGTATGCTTTAATATGGACACCGTATAGATGAATTCCCAAAAAGGTTTCAGGGTGCTTAAAGTGTATTTCCACTTTTGCAGCCCAACTGGGAAAGCATCAACTTTATATTTGTCACATTTGTTCTCATTCACATTGCATAACTTAAAAAGAAAAAATGCTGTTGACATCTTTAAGTGCTTTTTACTTTCTAAAAATCCTACATTGCTTCCACTTGTGTAATGCTAAGGAGGGGCTCTATGAAGTTATGTTTACTCTAATTAAAGTGACACAAAATTTAGGAGTTAAACCGTAAAAACACATTCAAGAACGTTAACTATTAACAAAAATGTATCTTATTTGTGTATCACTCGGCTGCAGATCCTCAAATCATCTCTGAATTGGTGCCGATACATGATGGATTACAATATCACATATAGCTTACTAGTTTGTATTGAGATTGTAGTCCATCACAGGAGCGAGCTTGGAGCGGTGACTACTTTACAACACACACAGGGACCATGGGGAACAAAAGTAGCCCCCCTCCAGAAGGAAGGACTGTGTCGGCACCAATTCAGAGATGATTTAACTATTAACAAAAAGATAAATTTTTGTTAAAAGAGAACTATGGGGTAAGTGTTTTTCCCCATAGTTCTCTTAAGGGTCACGGGAGGACATAAACTAGCGTCCTCCCGTGACCCAAAGCTCAGTATATCGGGAGCTACAGCTCGCGGTATACTGACAACGCCGCAGCCGGTACGGATCCCTAGATTACTGTCGAGATCCACCCAACTGCGTGATTGACAGCGGGCTCTGCCTATCTAGAGGCAGAGCCAGCTGTGCCACCCCCCCTCCGTCCGTTCCTACAGTCAGCGCTGGAGGATCGGAGATGGGAAGGAGGGGGGAATCCCTTTGCTCTCTGCAAAGAGATGATCAAGAAGTGAGCGAGCGACGGTATGTGTTCGCTCACTTCTCGATCTATTGAGCAAGGTGCAGGGGTGTGGAATTCGTATCGCCCGACGCCCGGGACATGTAGTTCCGGGCGCCGGGCAAGTTGTTTTGTCACTATTTTAGCCCTGCTACGGACAAGTAGCAGGGCTGGGGTTTTTTTTCTTAAACGAGCGCTGAGAGCGGCGCTGCGAGCAGGGGGCGTGGAGCGCCGAGAGCGGGGGGCGTGGACGGAGCGGGGACGGAGCGCTGAGAACTGGGGACGGAGCAGAGGGCGTGGAGCCATGACGTGGCTGGGGGCGTGGAGCTATTTTTAAGTAAATAAAAAAATTTAAAATGAAAACCAGCCCCGCTGTCCCCATCTTCATGCGAATAAACACGCAGTGTTTTCAACTGCAATCGTGTGCAACCGCTCGGGCAGGGCAGTATTGCAGCAGGAAAACGCACAATCTGCCTGGCACGACTGGGGTGTCATTAGAATATTCACTTTCCCAAGTAATTTGGGAAAATGGAATTACCCGCACAAATCTCCCTCCCACTATACTTACCTTTCGGCAAACGGTCCTTCCCGTCCACCAGTACGGGTGTAGTATCTGCATGTGTTCCATGTATTGTGAATTCCGCTCGCATATTGCAAGCACTCGTTGGTCAACGCAGTCACCTGACGGCACTGACCAATGAGAAGTGCTTCTTAGCACTTTGGTTAAAATTATTTTTTTGTATCAGGACAAGTAGATTGCCATGAGGGACAAGTAGATTCGGCCCCCTCTTTAGTCCTAACAAGTAGTTTTTTCTTAAATTTCCACACCCCTGAACGTGTGACAGTTTTATTGTCACACGTCGGCTCCAACTATGAGAATGAGTGTAAATCACTCACCACATAGTTCTCTTTTAAGGTTCTTGAATACATGTTTAAGGTTTAACTCCTGAGTTTGGTGTCACTTAAGTAGACAGGAGGCATAACGCCCTTCACTGTGTCAACATACAGAAATGTCCACCAGAACACTTTTCTTGAAGACTAGTCCTCTGTTATTCAGACATCAATGAAAAAGAATACCAGCCAATGTTTCAGGACAATGCAGGGCCCCTTTCTTAAGGTCCTCTCAGTCAAATCACTGTGACACAATTGCCCCTCTTTGAATCACTAACAGAATATATTATATTACATTCTGTCGACTACACCTACTTTACTGCATGTTTTACACTTATACAACTTTCACAGACAACAACAAACAGTCACTGTGCCTTTTAGGGCCTGTTCACACGACGTCCGTTTTGTGTGCTGACCGGCTCCGTACGCTCCTGCACTCAAAATGCATCCCAATGTATCCTTATGTGTTTTATGGGCTCCAGTTCTCACGTGCGCAGTGCGTTCAGCTTACGACAGAAAAAATACTGCATGTCACATTTTGTCAGGTCCGGAAACGGTCAGGATACGCAAACGCGTCAAAAACGCACTGCACTGCAGCTAACATACTAACAGCCCCACTCCCCACTTTTTACTTGAACGCATCAAAAACGCGGCCAAAACGCACTGCATCAGTCTGCAGATCCGCACCTGATCAGGACCTGATATCATGTGAACAGGCCCTTACAATGTGCTGACCTAGCAACTCTAGAGTTACATTTGTATTTATTATTTTTGAAAAAATAAAAGTAGAAAGTTAAACATGTGATACAAGGTACAACACACATACTCCCCCAGTACAAGGCACTACATGTGGGAAGCAGCCCACATGTGATAACAATGGTGTGGAGCAGGAGTACAAATCCCATCATGCATCTGCCTCTAGGAGTCATGTCTGTGGCTGGTTAAGTCTTGGAATGCCTAATGGGAGTTGTAGTTGCACCACAGCTGGAGGGCCAACTTTTGCCTACCCCTGGTGTAGAGCATCCAAAACAGAGTAGTGTGCCATAAGGAGCACTCACAGCGGTCAGATAATTAGAGCATGGAGACGGGAGGTTGTGTGAAGAGCCAACAAGCTTCCAACAGTCCTACCCTCACGTAGGAGGTTGTCCGGAGACCCGGACCCAACAACTCTGTACAATTTATCATTACTATTACACGCAGCGCTGCCACATACCCGTTTTACTTTTCAGTTTGTAAGTGCGGCCTCCATCTACAGTTAAATGCTGCTGAACCACAATGGAATCTCCGTACACCTCCGGTCTGAATGCATCCGATCCTCGGTTACGCAATCTTATTGATATGTCCGCAGACCTGAAATCAAAACGCGTTGACTATGCTTCATTAGCTAATATTTTTGTAATAAGGGTTATTTCATAATCACATAAGTCACCACGGTTTTGGTCTCTCTTTGACCAGAAAGCTATTTTTTAAAGGAAACCAATCACAAATGGGATTATGCATAGACAAGAATATTAATTCCTAAATGTTCATAAGTGAAAGGTTATGGATTAAAAATGTACAAGTGGATTCTCTTAGTTTTATTTCTTGTCTGAGCCTGACTCCTCAGTTTTATCAACGAGAAAGCCACTCGCACTCCAATTCGATGTCCAGTCAACTCACCTGTTCTGTTTGCCTGATAAAGGAACCGCTGGGTTCCGAAACGTTGCATTAAGATGTCATACCACTTCAGCCAATAAATTAGTTGACTGGACATCGAATTGGAGTGCGAGTGGCTTTCTCGTTGGCTGTACTATGTCTGCAGAGGCATCTTCTGCTACTCTGGCACCCGCCCTGTACGTTGGGCTTTTCTCCGGTTAGGAGTGAGATGGGACTAATTGGATTTTGACTGAGTTTTATGACTCAATCCCATGTCTGTGCTATGTTGCATTTACAAAAGTTAATTTTTACCATGAAATGTTTAAAGGGAGCACAATCATTCGGAATGCTTGTTAGCCCCTATGTAATAGCAATAAAGTAAAAAAAGAGAAAAGTAAAAAAAATTATAAAATATAAAACGTGATAAAAAGTAATAAGTTAAATAAAAATGAAAAATAAAAATAAAAACAACTTCGCCATCTGCATGCAAATAAACGCGTGGAAAAGGCATTGTGTGTGTGAGCCACCCCCATTCCACTGTGCCGTATTGTGGTAGCCGGGCAGCTCTCGAACACGCACAGTGTGCATTAAAGGGTATGTTCACTTTTCTGGTCCCCTCTCAACCCTGCAATACTTGCCTTCAGCGAACGGTCCTTCCCCTCAGCTGGTACGGGTGTACAATCTGTACCCTATACTGCAGTCAATAGCAGCCCTGCGACATGGATTTTACATTCCACTCGCAAATTGCGAGCACTCATTGGTCAGCGCTGTTACCTGACCCGGGGGGGTTAATTTCTACTATATAAAAAAAGTACAGTAAATGTTATGTTAAAAAACATTTATTTTTACCCATATTTTTGGTAAAATATAAAAGACGGGGTCACGTCGTGTAAATAGACACCAAACATTTCAAGCCTTAAAATTGCACGCGTCCGCAAAATCGCAAAAAAAACGCCCACACTGAATATAGCACTTCAAGTCTCTTTTTGCGCGGATGCGCGCAAATGGCCTTACGCCGGACGTGACCTCATAATTGACGTTTTGGCGTCCGGCGAGGAGGGATATAAGAGGGGATGGGGGTTTTGACACTCTCAGGTGGTTGGAGCTCAGGAGAAGATAAAGAAAAGAGAACTGGCTATTTTTAATGGTAAGTGACAAACATATGGAGACTTTTGCTTGTTGCTCTGATTAGATGCACCTTTTTGAAAAGGCCTTACAGGCCTATGTACCTTTTGTTTTAAGGATTTGATGTTATCTCAGAATGTAATACTGACATACCTCATTGGTTTTACTTAGAGGCTGTGTTTGGAGCCCAAGTTCTTGGCTATAGAATGTACACCGGTGATGGAAATGGATAATGTCAGGTAACACGATAAACTATATCTATTTGTACCCACTTGGGCAGATCCCCTTATAGTCTCTTCAAGAGTGTTCATTGTTCTTTTATAGGTGTGATCTATTCAATAATAAGAAGAATTTCTGAGATGTTCTCATCTAATAGCAAATCTGGCCTCTTCTGAAACCTCTCTCACTCTGTAGTTTTACTGCTTTGACTTGGGGGTTGTCTTGCTCTCTATCCCATTTCTATTGGTCCCTCCCCGTCCGCGCCCATGATTGAGTGTTGGTCAGTGGTGGATCCAGCCATCTTTACAGACTATTGTAAGCTTTTTAAACTAAACAAACTGCACTAAGTACAGGTGAAACTCGAATAATTAGAATATCGTGCAAAAGTAATGGCAGTAAGTGCTGCAAAAGGGGCCCAAACCAAGTACTGAGTACATATGCATGCTTGTACTTTTCAGAGGTCCGATATTGTTCTATGTACAATCCTTGTTTTATTGATTGCATGTAATAATCTACTTTTTTGGGGTTGTGGATTTGGGGTTCTTGGGGTTTTCATGAGCTGTAAGCCATAATCATCACAATTATGACAAATCACGGCTTGAATTATCTTGCTTTGCATGTAATGAGTCTATCTCATATATTAGTTTCACCTTTTAAGTTGCATTAGTGAAATAAATGAACTTTTGCACGATATTCTAATTATTCGAGTTTCACCTGTATATTAATGCATTTGCATAGGTAAACTATGAACTCTTTGTAAATAAAAAATATGATTTTCTTGTAGAAAGACAGTAGCCCATTTTTCCTGAAGAAGCGGATCTCTGTGAAACGCGTTGAATTGGTCTCCACCCACGGGACTACAAATTAAACTAGGAAGCTGATATCCAGCAAATTGTAACAAGTATCGTAATATAGATGTGGGAGGATGCGGCTACATCCTATGGTCTATTTTAGGCAATCTTTCTTTTTTTTTTAAACTATGCATTTTAAATATATCTAAAAATAAAAATTGTTATACTTTATATAAAAACTAAATGTGTTTTGTGTGATCCTTGAAGTACCTTAAAAGTCCTCCTTTTTTATGACAATAATTATCAGGATGCGGTACTTCTCCTCTATGCATACCTCTCTGTATGAATATTACTATCCACACTGAAAATTGGCCATAGGCGACGCTTTAAACTCTTTTACCGCTCATACGTTTAGTGTTATCAATGAATAATGACCCTTAAATTATTGCTCACACTCCGACGTTTGCGGTGATATGTAAGATGTGCGGCACAATAGGCGCAATCGTCTGAAAAAGATCTGCTTCACCAGCTTCTGAAGATGGAGAATGACAGCAGAATGCGGAAGTGATCTAATATACTGTACATCACTTCCTGCATTCGGGACCAGAGAGGAGATCGGAGGGAGTTCGTGTACCGATCCCCCTTTGATCTCCTGTCACAGATTAGCCATGCCGGTCCCGGCCGCACCGGATCTCAGGACCAGCAACGGCAGTGACAGCTGCTGCTAATACAAGCGATCGGGCGTCTCAAGAGATGCCCGATCGTTGAATGTAAAGCTCCCGGCCGCCCGTTTAATTACAATGGCCGGCCAAGAAGCTACTCGTCTGGCTCCGCCGTCCTCTCGTCACAGATGAGGACGAGCTGATTTTTCAAACCCTGGTAATAAATAATTAAAACTAACGATTCAAGATACCTACATGCTTTTAAGTCCCTCCCCTCACAAATGTAGGCACAAAGTACTGCACAACGATAAATGGCTTAAAACAGCAATAGTACATTAGGACTTACGTCTGTCCCTCTTTCACAAATTCTTTTATAGAGGATCCTCCGTTCATAGTTGCAGCTTTGCCGCCCAGACCCACAATCAAAGCTGTAACAACGGCACTTTTACCACCTAGAGAAAGTTAGAAAACAATTATACAAGCAGCTTTGGCATTGGTTACATCAGCGTTTCTCAGCCTTTTTTTTCAGTCATGGCACTCTTTAAAATCTGGAGGCACCCCAGTCTAAAATGTAAAAAACATCATATGGCCCCACCAAAATTCATACCAGATCTTTAACCCAGGCAGGGGTCTGGTATGGATTATATGGGGAGAAGCCACACACTAACACAACAAAAAAAATGGGGTTTCTCCCAACTCTGTGGCCCCCCATCAGAGCCATCAACCTTCACATCAGAATCCCCCTTTCCTATCAGAGTCAACCTTCACACCGGGAGCCCCTCTTCACATTAGCAACCCAAGTCACATCAGGAGCCGCCTCCTTTCACATCAGAATCCTCCCTCTAAACTAGGAGCCCCTTCACAATAGAGCCTACTCCTTTCACATCAAGAGCCTTCTTCACATCAGAAGCTCTGCCTTCAATTCAGGAGCCCACTCCTTTCACATCAGAGTAGCCCCTTTACATCAGACGCCTTTAAACCCTAACACTGAACATTGCCATGGAAAGGCATGATGCTGTGCAAAAAGTTTGAGGCACCCCTGAAGGCAACCTGATTGAGAAAGTCTGGGTTAGATCATTGGTCTCTATTCATTTGAAAGAGGATACTTACCATAATTTTCCTTTCCTGACATGCTCCAGGGATGCATAAGAATGGGTTAATCCCCACCCCCTCTATCTCAATAGGACCGTTAACTCATACATTTGTCCCATTGAGTCCCACACTGACAAGCCATTACCTAACTAGCTACTCCGACTGGGTGGGATGATATGCTGCCATGGAGCATGTCAGAAAAGGAAAATTACGGTAAGTATGATAACAATTTTCCTGACTGCTCCATATCAGCATACGAATGGGAAAAAAATCACACAACACAGGGAGGGATGCTGTATAAATTTTAATCTCAACTCGATACAGAAGCAATTACTCTCTGACCACACTCTGCTGTTGTCAGAGCACCCGGTTCTATACAATAATGTGAAATGAAGGTGTGAACCGAGGACCATGTGGCTGCCTTGCAAATGGTTTCTGCAGAAGCTCCCTTAGCTGCCGCCCAAGAGGTAGACATACTGTGTTTAGAGTGCGCCATAATCCCTCCTGGTACTGCCAACCCCTTGGTTTTGTATGCCATCGAGCTCACCTTCACCATCCAGGCCGCGATAGCCCTGCTTGAGGCCTTGTTGCCCTTCCCGGCACCAACAGAAATGACAAAAACATGATCCGTTTGTCTGAAATCCTTTGGAGTTAGGATGTATGTTTGCACATCCAGGTGCAGCGGGAGGAAGCAGACACCAGGGACAGGCACCAGGAGCAGCAGCAGGTCCACGGCCGCCGGCGCTCGCTCATCTCCGTCCACCCACCGCAATAGCCGAGCCAGGCCACGGGTGGAACGTGCATGCATCCAAATACGTCCAAGTGGCGGAACACAGACAGAAGCTGGCTCAATACTCCTCAGATGCTGGACTTAATCCAGCCAGCCGAATGCACCGAGGACCAGCAGTGGGGCTTCCCACACCCGCTGCCATTAAGGAATGCACACAGGGGGAACTCTCTCCTCCCCGCTGGACGTTGCTCTGTGTCCCAGCGGGGAGGAGAGAAACTGTCACGGGTGACCGAGCGATGCGGGAGGAGAGTGCTGCGAGCGGTTGGCAACTCTCCTCCCCGCACCGCTTAGCCTCCTGTGACAGATCAGAGGAGAGCATTGTGTGGGCTGAGGCAGCCTGCAGCGCTGTCACAGGAGGCTGAGCTCCGCTCGCTCACTGACACAGGAAGGCGAGCGAGGTACAAACACTGAGTGTTTGTAAATAATTGAGGACACAGTATGTTTACTATATCCTCAATTATGAATGAATGGGAAGTGATCTACATCACTTCCTGTTCATTCATGATTGTGGTTATAGTTAAACACACTCTGTCCTGAACAGGAACACTCAGTATAGAGGATTCCTGTTCATTTATAACAGGGGATACAGAAAAAGAGATTGAGGACTTTGTTCTCAATCTCTTTTTCTATTTTAAAAGGGAAATATCAGAGGTCTGTTTAGACCCCTAATATTTTCACCTATAAATCAGGCACAAAGTGAAGGTGTGTCCAAACATATTCAACACAGTAAAGAATTTGATGCATTCTAATTAGCAATTAAAGCAAAATCTGCTCCTACAGCATGAAGAGCTCCTGCAATCTAGGTCACTGGGTTTGGATCCACTGCACTGGATTCTATATTTTTATATATTAAAAAACAAAACCATATACACAAAAATGCAACCCACCAATCCAAAGGGTCAATAGGCTAAGACTAGCCATATACATGCAGATTTCTCTGTAGAAGTCACTTGATTTCCTCCATCCATGCTAAACAGCGTGTATAGAGGAATCTCCACTGCCGGCTATTGTGTTCAGACAGCCACGGGTGCCAACAGCTCTCTGAATATTTGAGCGGGCTGTGGTTATTCCTCTATACGCGCTGTTCAGCGTGGATGGGAAAAGCTGCAGAGAAATCTACATATGTACAGTTCTGGTCTAGAGCATTCGGGTGTGTGTTACAATGCCAAGGAGGCAAGACATCAGAAATGGTCTTGGAGAAGCAACTGTTGCTGCCCATCAATCTGGGAAGGGTTATAAGGCCATTTCCAAACAATTTAAAGTCCATCATTCTACAGTGAATAAGAGTATTCACAGGTGGAAAACATTCAAGACAATTGCCAATCTTCCCAGGAGTGGATGTCCCAGAAAATTCACCCCAAGGTCAGAACATGCAATGCTCAGGGAAATTACAAAAAACCACGAGAGATACATCTCAGACTCTGCAGGCCTCAGTTAGCATGTTAAATTTACAATTAGAAAATGACTGAACAAGTATGGATTGTTTGGAAGGGTTGCCAGGAGAAAGCCTCTTGTGCTGTTACAGCCATTGTATGAAAATGTTATACAATGCATAGTCATGTTTAATATTCATATTATTGTGAATTGGGTATTCATATATTTAATGTTCAGTATATGGTGTGTGGAAGTTAGTTCATACACTGCCATCTTGTGGTCATTTTGGTTAGTTTTTAGATTGTAAGCTCTTACGGGCATGTCTTATGGCCACATGTTCATATGTTTGCATGGGGGAAAGCATTACCATACGTTGACCTGCAAATACCGTCTTTTCAATCATCCGGCTGTAACCTGATGTATTCAATAATGTTCTTTGTGGATGGATTTGGTGAGTTCAGCTATCTGATGAAGATTGTCCGCGGTGATTGTATCTGCTTATACAGGCCAGGCATAGAGTTCTCAGCAAGGGATAAATCACTAATCCAACAATTGGAGTCAGAATACCTCTTCTCCCTAAAAAGAACATGGCAGCACGGCTTAGGTTTTGCAAAGTTGCATGTGAACAAACCACAAGATTTCTGGAGCAATGTCCTTTGACAGATGAGACCAAAGTGGAGATGTTTGGCAAAAACCAAACACAGCATATTAGTACAAAGACCTCATACCAAGTGTCAAGCACGGTGGTGGAGGGGTGATGGTTTAGGCTTGTTTTGCCGCCACAGGACCTAGGCACCTTGCAGTCATTGAGTCGACTATGAACTCCTCTATATACCAAAGTATTCTAGACGCAAACATGAGTCCATCAGTCAGACAGCTAAAGCTTGGCCAAAATTGGGTCCTGTCACAGGACCACGATCCCCAGCACACCAGCAAATCTACAACAGAATGGCTGAAAAAGAAAAAGGACCAAGGTGTGTCGCAATAGCCCAGTCAAGTCCAGACCTCAACCCAACTGAAATGCTGTGGCGGAACCTTAAAGGGATATTAAAGTCTAAATCCCCCCAACCCCCAATGCTGCTTTAAGGACTTACCTTAAATAATGCCTCTTGATTGGATCATCTTCTTCTTTCCTGTAGTTTTCAGGAGTCCCTCCAGCGCTGGTGCCGGTCTCTGATCCAGCGTTGACTGCTATCTCTTCCTGTCCCACGGAGTCTGTGCGGGTGCACGCTGCTGCATTGACTTACCCTGTGTCTCCCCTCTTTTCCCGGCCAAAGATCTCTACTGTGCATGCGCCCGACCCATCATCCTTTGCGGCCTTGCTAGCAGTAGATATATGCAAGGGTTTAATTATACTCTTATAGAGCTGTGTATAAACAAATTACCGCACACCTCAATTAACTAGAGCAACATTGTAAAGAAGAGTGGGACATCATTTCTCCACAACAGTGTGAGAGACTAAAGTCATACAGCAAAAGATTACTTCAAGTTATTGCTGCTAAAGGTGGTTCTACAAGCTATTGAATCATACTTCCTGCTTAGTTTTTCACAAATGTTGTCTCCATTTTGGTTTTATCTTTGTAAAATAATGAAATAGTTAGAGCTGCAACAACTAATCGATTAAAATCGATTAAAATCGATGATGAGAATAGTTGGCAACTATTCCCATCATCAATTAGTTGATCTTCGATTAGTTGCTGGCAGCGGAGGTACGAGGCTGGAGCAGCGGGGGATTTCACATTCACCGGCCGCAGTCTCTTCTCCCTGCTGGTGCTGGCTGCAGCGGTCTGTGTCCCTTTCACAGACCGCTGTAGCTGGCACAAGAGGGAAGAAGAGACTGGGGCCAGTGACTCTGAAATCCCCCGCTGCCCCCCCTTGTACCTCCGCTGCTGCTGCTCCTCAGTCCTTTAAGACAGTTGACAGTGTTACAAGTGTTTTCCATTTGATTAAACCCTTTCCTTTTGGTTATATATCTCAAAGTGTCAGCTGTCTGTGCTCCTTATTTGTTTAATAATGCGCTCACCAGACCTACCCAGACGTTTTCACTCTCAATCAAAGAAGGGAAGGTCCGTTCTGTGTGTAGTCAAGATTTACGGCTTCTCTCATCTCCTCCCCCGTGAACACACAGAACAGACCTTCCCTTTTTTGAGTAAGAGCGAAAACTTCTGAGTACGTCTGGTGAGGGCATTATTAAACACATAAGGAGCATGGACCTGATGGAAAACGTTCTCCTTCTGTTCCCTCCTCTGCTGATTGACAGCAGGCAGTGGGCGGGTGTAATAGCCAGCCTGCTATTGCAATTTAAAATATCCAATAGCAGGCTGGCTATTGCTCCCAGTCACTGCCTGCTGTATTTACATTCAGCTGCCTCAGCAGCTGAATCCAGTGAAGTGGAAAGGAATAAAGCAAGACTCCTTCACGGATTTAGCAACGGAAAGACAGCCGGGTGCTTGCTGGCACATTGGAGGTGATAAGTTCTCTTTAAGGTGACCCCTAATGTCACCTTAAGGAGAACTTATCACCTCCAATGTGCCAGCAAGCACCCGGCTGTCTTTCCGTTGCTAAATCCGTGAAGGAGTCTTGCTTTATTCCTATGCAGGGGTGTGGAAATGTAAAAAAAAAAAAAACTACTTGCCCAAGGGCTAAAGCGGGGGCCGAGTCTACGTGTCCTTCATGACAATCTACTTGTCCCAATACAAAAAATGGTTTTAATCAAAACTAGGGATGCACCAATACCGTTTTTTTCGGTATCGAGTACTGATATTATGCTTTCTGTACTCACCAATACAGAGTACTGATACCAGTGCTTCCTTTGGCGTGGAGCCGGCTTCCCAGGCAATCAGGAAGCCAGGCAGCGGGTAATGACATGCCACCCGGGTTCCTGATTGCCAGGGAAGCCGGCTCCTATTTGTTTGGCCAGCTTGACTGCAATTGGCCGGGCAACCGGCTTCCGAGCATTGAGCCAGCTTCCCGGCCAATCAGGAAGCACGGTGGGCAGTAGTGACCTGATTGGCCGGGAAGTAGGCCCGATGCTGATTGGCTGGGAAGCCAGCTTCCCAGCCAAATCAGGAAACCGGGAGGCGGGTCATTACTCTCCGCCTGGCTTCCTGATTGCACAGGAAGCTGGCTCCATGTTCCCCTATGGCAATGCCGGTCAGAGGATATTTTCCTCTGACCGGAAGTTCCGGTTTTGGGGAAGGTATCGGAGTATTTGGGCGAGTACAAGTATTCGCCCAAATTCTCGGTATCGGTGCATCCCTAATCCAAACCGTATTTGACTGCGCTGACCAACGTGTGCTTGCAATTTGCGAGCGAAATTCAAAATGCATAGGGCAGGACTGCACTGGAGAGCAGTACGGGGTATAGATAGTACACCCGTACTGGCGGAGGGTAAGGACTGTTCGCCGGCTTGGGAGAGGCCGGGCCAGATTTGCTCAGGTAATTCTATTTTCCCATATTACCTGGTAAAGTGAACTTACCCTTTAATGCACATTGTGCGTGTAGGAGAGTTCTGCTGCCTGGCTACCACAATATGGCACACAGTGGAATAGCGGCAGCACTCAACGCACACACACAATGTCCTAAGCGTGCGTTTACTTGCATGCAGATGGCGGGGGCAGCGGGGTTGGTTTACATTTTTTTTT